GGTGCTAGAATGTTTTCTCCTCTATGGATACTAATGACAATTTTCCTCCTTTGATGATAACTCCATAACAGGACTTTAAGAATGATTCTTCCCTAAACGGGCGAGGTGCCACAACACTATAAAGTAATAACTGCCACCGCATAACATTCACTGTGCAACGACTTCTGCATAGAGCAGGTGGGAAGTGTCCCACAGAGAACATGCCTTTGGGCTGGATATGAAGAAGGAGCCAGGTTTTTGCCAGATGGGGAAGCAAGAAAGGAAAGAGAAGAGCATCGAAAGGTTCAGGAGCAAAAATGCAAGCCTGTGTGTCTCTGGAGTTCACAAAACAATACTGGAAAAGGACGCTGTGCTCCTAAGACCTGTCCTGACAGCTCTCTATCTTCCATCGATATGCGAAGTGAGGATTCAGCCAGAATCCTTAAAGGGCTGACTGATGGCCGTGCCGACTTAGTGACATGGCCCTGATGGATGTGGCAGTTTGCTGTCACCTTGTGATACACATTCTTCTCTCTCTGTGTTGACACATCATCGTACAGGTGATAGCCAGCCATAAAGATACGGCATTATTTTCTCCTAAATCAAATACCAAGTAGACATATTGTGGGTTTTATGCAGAGATTTATCGTCGTCTACAAAATACTAATAAAACAGTTGCCAACTGAGCTGAAATGATTACAATTCCTAAAAAAATGTCCTTTTTTTGAGAGTAACAAGCAGAGCACTAACGATATCTACCTTTACCCAAGAAAGTAAGAACTTACTGCATAATCTCTGTTCTTGCCTTTGAGGGAGTGATGAAAACATTCACTTATTTACAGGATTTTCTGTTAAGGGCCAAGAGACCTTCAGGCAAAGGTACTCTCTTGGCAAACTAAAAGAACACAAAAGTGGGCCGCTCATTTTAGAAAGCTACACTTGCACAGTACAAACATTTTAAAGAACATATTTATCCTGTAGAAGCCACAGGGACCCAGAGAACAGTACTTGATCTATGGAAATGAGGTTCGTCCTATTAAATGTAAGCCACTGAATTTAGAGGCTTTTTTTATGAGCTGATTTAGGATTGTAGGAATGCATGCGTGCATGCGTATTTATTTATAATTTGCCTCATTCCATAGGGATCTGAAGTGACTTTCAGGAAGTACAAGTACATGTGTAACCAAGTAACAGTAAAATCTTACAGTGAAACCTTGATAAAACGGACTAATTCATGTGAGGGGGTGTCCATTAAAGCCAAAAGTCCATCTATATATATAAAAGCCTAAGTGACCAGTTGACCAGATGACCAGCCGGTAGCTATGACGTGCACTGACCACCAGGGGGAAGGTGCTCAACTCAGGAGCTGTCCTCTGGTGGTCAGTGTGCTCCCACAGCAGGAGTGTTGCTCAGCTGACCGACGGGGCACCAGACACCAGGCTCACAGCTGGCAAGCACAGCCTTGACAGTGGGATGAGCAGGAGCAGCGCCCCGCTGCCTGCCACTTTGTGCACTACTACATCCCACAAGGGGTCCCAGATTGCTAGACGGCACAGGCCAGTCTGAGGGATCCCACCGGTGCACGAATCCGTGCACTGGACCTCTAGGTATATAACAAAGTAGATATTCTGAATGCATACAATAAAAAATTGACAAATTAGTTAGTTTACCTGTTTCTACTTATGTAGACATGTTTGTGCAATTAAAATTAAGTATGTATAAAAAGTTCAATTTCACAGAAAAGTGTTCTGTATGTTTTACAGTAACTTTAAATTATAATGAATAGGTCTAATAATTGCATGCATTCACCAGTCACCTGGAGTAAACAAATGCACATGGAAGGGATGTGGCTTAGTGCACGTGGGAACATCTGCAGGCATGAGTTAAACCTGCTGCAGAAAGTCATGCCACAGGACAACAGAACCAAGAGCCCCAGGCAATGTGGTATGATCTCTGAACATTGTTTATGAGTGTGACTCTTGGATTTAAATATGTAGACCTTAGTTGTAGATACATGATATTTATTTATATCGGTGACATTACTACAGTGTTTTTTCCAACATATGGCCTATTTGCTAAAATTTGTTAAAAATAACAGTGAATTAATAACAAAAAATAATCTGTTAATTTAATTATAAGCAAATCTTGGTTAAAAGCATTTAAAAATTGTAACAGAGTGTTAATTTTCACATATGACATATGGACCGGAAACTTTGTTCATTAAATCAAAGTCTGCAAAATCGAGGATTTACTGCGATAGAAATTTTAAATTCCAGACAGAGAAAATATAAGTGAGAGTAGAAATCCAAGACCACGGAAATGAAAGACACAAATATGCACGTCATGATCAAATTTCCAGTTTGGCTTTGGGGCTCCAGGCAGTCAAAATGAAGAAATGCAACTAGGCACATCATGCTGATTAGCAGAAAGGAGGAGGCATGCAACACATCAGAAAAGATTTCCTAGTCCTGGATTTTAGAAGGAAATTCCCAAAAGGAGCACTCTTTGGGGGGCACTAAATTGAGATGGTAGACATTGTCCTCAAAACTTCTGTAATAATTGCAGTTACTAATTCCATGTCCCCACCCCCCTTCTATCATCCTTTGACTAAACTTTTTTTTAAAGGATAAAACATCAAAACCCAACTCTGGATTTTTTAAAAAAGATTTTAAATAGATATTTAGAGAGAGGAAGGGAGAAGGAGAAAGAGAGACAAACATCAATGTGAGAGTGAAACACTGATTGGCTGCCTCCTGCCTTCCAGGGATCAAGACTACAACCCAGGCATTGCCCCCCTCCCTCCCTCCCCGCTCAATACCGGATCAGGAATTGAACCAATGGACTCTGCAGTGCACAGGACAACACTCAACAGGCCAGGGCAGTACCAGCAAGAGTTCTAAGCTAACTCCATATATTAATTCATTTGATCCTCACAATAAGCCAAGGATAAAGTACTAGTACTATTTACAGATTAGAAAACTGAGACTGGGTAAGGTTCAATACCAAAGTTACAAGGCTAGTAAGTGGTAGAGCAGGGATTTAAATTCAGGCAGTCTGGGCCTAGAATCCATGTCCCTAAGCCCTGCAGTGACTGTCCCTAATAGCAGATGCTCGGGAAATATCTGGTGAGTAGATGAACAGAGGAGAGGAGGAGGACAAAAAAGTCAGAGATGAAGTCAGGAAAGGTTAACCAAATCCTTACACTTTGCAGCAATCCTTAATGATCACAAAGTACATTCAAATGAAATGTCATTGAAGTTTCAACACCACTCTATGAAGTATTTATTCAGATCCTCTTTATTCAGAGGAGCAGAACCTGTTCCAGATCACATGGTTGGCAAGTGGTGAAGTTGGGTCTCCTGCCATCTTTCTAAGGTACCTCAGAGGGAAGGAGGCAGGAGAGGCAAACTCTCTTGGGTGCCAAGAAAAACTTCCCAGACGAACAGGCATCAAACAGACATGTGCCTTTAAATGAGCAAGTGGAATTTTAAAGTCACATTTCCAGAAGATTAAGGAAATCAAGAAAGCCTAGTGCTAGGCAAATAGTAATAACTTAATAAATATTTGAACCAAAATGTTGGCCAATGTGGTGCACTGAGCCAAAATGAACCAAATGTTTGCCAGTGCATCACACTGTACTACTGTTTCCAAATACTCAGTTCCCTTCCTGTTTCCTCAGGAACCCCCAGGATATCCCTGGTACCTCCCCTGGTTCCATATGGTCTGCAGGATCCTGCGGGAGGATTATTTATCCCCAACCCATTGGCAATGCGTTTGGCCCTGTGACTTGTCTGAGCAGAAGTTTTAATAGCCAAGGCACGCTTCCACTGGCTGTCTGTTCCTCTGCGACAAGGGCACCCTGCCCCAAACAGTGGCTGCCCCTTCAGCCTGGATCATGGAATGAAAACGCACAGGGAGCAGGAGACCCAATGCCAATCTGTCAAAGACATGTGATATGGTCAAGAAATAAACCTTCTGTTCTTTTTAAAAAAATATATACTTTATTGATTTTTTACAAAGAGGAAAGGAGAGGGATAGAGAGTCAGAAACATTGATGAGAGAGAGAAACATCGATCAGCTGCCTCCTGCACACCTCCTACTGGGGATGTGCCCGCAACCAAGATACATGCCCTTGACCGGAATCAAACCTAGGACCTTACAATCTGCAGACTGATGCTCTATCCACTGAGCCAAACCAGTTAGGGCAAACCTTCCCTGTTCTTGCAAGCCACTGAAACTTGGGGAGGACTTGGTACCTCAGAACAGCTGACTAAAACAGCTATTATAATTATTACTACTATTATTGAGCTAAATTTCTATTTTATCCCCCCAAAAGTTTTGAAAAACTTTAAAAAGTCAATCAAAAATTCCCAATTGTCACAACAGATTTCTCACGACAGACCTGAATGGGTCTAATTCTTACAAATACCTCATAGAAAATTTCATATTCCTAGTCTGTATTGATGCTTCTTTTTTTCCTTTACCTACTAACTCTGTCCCCTGACAAACTCACAGGTAATGACAGCATCTCTGGTGAGCTCATTTTTCTTCCCTCCATACACAGCCTCCGGGGGAGCCATGAGGCTCAAAAAGGAAGTCAGGAGACTGGCTTTGAAGGCCTCTCTTATAAGCTCTATAGCCTTGTCAAACAAGCTGTGTTTCATTTTAAAGATAAAATAATTACACCGAAACCGGTTTGGCTCAGTGGATAGAGCTTCATCCTGTGGACTGAAAGGTCCCAGGTTCGATTCCGGTCAAGGGCATGTACCTGGGTTGCGGGCACATCCCCAGTAGAGGTGCAGGAGGCAGCTGATCGATGTTTCTCTCTCATCGATGTTACTAACTCTCTATCTCTCTCCCTTCCTCTCTGTAAAAACTCAATAATATATATATATGTAATAATTAACTGATGCAGATTTCATCATGGTTTATTAATAGATTCTCATAGATTCTATTTTCATATCTCAGTCTTTTGTGGTTTTTAGGAAAATTAGCTTCTAAAAATCATTTTATTTTCTTACATCAACAATAGTATTTACTGTTCTTTTAGGCAGATGCACTGCGTTCATTTCTGGTGGCATAAGTACTGAACCCCTGCCACTCTCTTCCAACACATGGGCACAAGCTGCTGTTCTCACGAGCCTGGAGTCTCCTGGGGAAAACAGGACAATAAGCAAGTACATAACCAAATGCCTTCAATCCTGTTAAATACTATGAAGAAAAGAGAGTGCTTTAATAGAGAATCATGAGGTATCGGATGAGATGAACTTAACTGGTAACCAGGGAAGACCATCCGATTGGGGACAATTGTCCTTTTCTACCCTGAGTAGCACAGGAAAAGCGTGGCGGTGGAAGGGGCAGGGGGACAAGTGTTCAGGTGAGACCCTGAGGTAGAAAAGAGCGTAGTGTGGGTGAGAACTGAAAGAAGAGTGTGCTTCCCTTGCTCTCCACATCTCAGCAAGAGGAAGAGGAACACGAGGTGGAACCGAAGAGCAAAGCACAGCTCAGGTCAGGTGGCGCTTTATCGGTTTGGGTTTTATTCTGAGAGGAAGGAGAAGACATTGCAGGGTCTCTGGTGAGGATGTGAGATGATCGGATTCGCACTGATAAAAGATGTGTGGAAATGGACTAGGGCGAAGCAAGAGTGAAGTGGAGGCCACTGTAAATATCCAAGGGAAGGAGAGCATGAGGCTAGAGGAAATGGAGAGAAGTGGAAAGACATGAGGCCTATTTTGGAGGTAAACATACAAAATCTCCTGACAGACTATAGCTCAGTGTGGGGAAGGCTGACATCTAGGCTTCTGGCCTGAGAAAGGAAGAAGATGGTGATGTAATTGAATGAGATGGAGAGGACAATGGGTAGAATCCATTTAATGGATGAAGTCAGAAATTCCATTTTGAACAAATGAAATTTAAGATGCCTGTGAGATATCAGAAAGCATTTTCTGATTTCCCCAAATCTGGGATAGAGGCTACTCCTATTTTCCCCCATATCCTATTGCAACACTGTTGTTTTGTTTTTACAATATGTTTTCGTTGATTTTATTTTATTTACTTTTTTAAAAATATATTTTATTGATTTTTTTTTTTACAGAGAGGAAGAAAGAGGAATAGAGAGTTAGAAACACCGATAAGAGAGAAACATCGATCAGCTGCCACCTGCACACTCCCTACTGGGGATGTGCCTGCAACCAAGGTACATGCCTTTGACCAGAATTGAACCTGGGACCTTTCAGTCCACAGGCCGATGCTCTATCCATTGAGCCAAACCGGTTAGGGCTGTTTTTGTTGATTTTAGAAAGAGAGAAAGGGAGAGTGATAGACAGACAGAAACATCGATGAGAGAGAAACATCATCAATCAGCTGCCTCCTGCACGCTCCCTATTGGGGATCTAGCCCACAACCTGGGTACGTGTCCTGACCAGGAATCGAGCCAATAATCTCTTGGTTCATGGGTCAACACTCAACCACGGAGTCACATCAGCCGGGCAACACTGTTTTAATATCCTGTTTTCTTAACTCCATCCTTTAACAGACTAAAGCTCCAAGATGGCAGAGATTTTATTGTCTTGTTCACCAATTAATCCCCAGTACCTAATAGCATTGCAGGCACATAATAGAAATTCAACATAAATTATTAAAGTTCTTTTTAAAGGTCTATCAGGAAAAGATTTGATACTTTCCAAATTTCTGCAGGATATGGGGAAGTTATTTTTTTTTATAAGGTTGATAGTACAAATGATAAAACTTTCAGAATGGTACTCTGGAAATGTTTCCACAAAAAAATAAAGAGGAAGAAATGAAATAAGCCTAAATGCCATCATTAGAGAAATGATTAATTAAATTATGGTTTGCAATAGAGTACTATCTACTCATTAAATATTAGTATAGAACTATATTTCTTGTTATAGAAAGGTACTTATGATATATTAAAAAAAGATTCAAGAAATAATCTTTGTAGCATAATCCCTTTGTTGCAAAAAATTTACATATATGTAAAAATATACAATAAAATGTTAAGAATTGTTATTCCTAGGTATAGGAAATTTTTTTTCTTTTAAAAAACTTTTCTTATATTCTGATTTTTTCGGTGAATACCTATTACTTTCATAATGAATGAAGGGTATTAAAGCGAATTCAATCAAAACAAAAAGCTGAAATTCGAAACATAGCTCATAAATGAAAGTAAATATCTAAATTGAAAAAGAATGGTCTTTAAGGAAATTTTATGTCAAGTTCTGGAGTATCTCTTGAAAGCGTTAGTGACAGGTCACTCACTGTTAAATGACAGGTAACCACAACAAAATATTTCTAATATGTTTTACAATCCTCTGTCTAGCATTTCAAGATGCCCATCAACTGGCCCAACTTTACCTTCCAGTCCCCGTTACTCCCTATCTAAACTTTCTGTCAAGTCAGTCTTTGTTTCTTTAGAGCAGCGGTTCTCAACCTGTGGGTTGTGACCCCTTTGGGGGTCGAACGACCCTTTCACAGGGGTCGCCTAAGACCATTGGAAAACCCATATGTAATTACATATTGTTTTGTGATTAATCACTATGCTTTAATTATGTTCAATTTGTAACAATGAAAATACATCTCTGACCTCTAGGACAATTATGCTGTGCCATCACAACTTTTTACTTGTTCACATACCGGTGAATAGTACACTTCCCTCATTCATTCATTCATTCATTCATGGTTGTATGACTTTTTGATTTTCAGATAAACTCAGCATCCAGAGAACAGGTATGGCAAAGGCAAATAGCTGGGATGCATCCAGGGTTTTATTTTTGCTGGGCTTACGTTCTGGAAGGGCAAGTAAGTTCAGGATATTGCCAAGGGAGTAGCTGTGAGAATGGACTGTGGATTCAATATGGATGGATAAAAAGAAGGACAAGAGAGAGCTGACAGAGAAAGAGAACGTGAATATTTCAAAGAACCAGCCCTATGAACTAGCCCTAGCTAACTAGGCTTTACAGAATCGGTTTTCATTTACTGCTCATTTTCTGGGAGTGCAAATACACATTGTCAGATAATAAGTTTGTGGGCACAAGAAGTTATATGAAATAGGAATATTTATGTCATTCTATTAGGAATAAAAATATAGAAAATCAAGAGTAGAGGGAAGTTCCTTCAATTGCACTCATTAAGGAAATATTTGTTTCTCTTCTATTGATGTGAATGTGCATGCTTCGGAGACTGAGGTCATTAGAATAGCCAAACAAACACAAACAGCAAAGGACAGCTATAGCAGGAGGGGCACAGGACACAAAAAGAGCATGCTAGTAAAGTGTCCCTTCCCCAACCCCACCCAGAATCATCTGCGGTCTCTGCCATGACCCAGAGTGCAAACTGAAGAAACGGGCAGGCTGGAAGCACAGTGACAGTGCCTAAGAGACTTCCGGCCCTTCCCTGGCTCAGGGAGCATGAACCTGGAGAGCATCTCTGGACAGAAGGGATAAAGGGCAAGAGAAGAAAACTCATTCATACTTTATAAACTTTAGTGAGAAAAAAACTAAACAAATTTACAGTAATCAAGAAAAAATTGTTGAACACATAGAAAATGTATGCTATGTGAAGCTGACTTAAGAAACCTGAATACCAAGTTGTATTTCTGTTACAAATTTTTATTTCAAAATCATTAAGTAGATGGGCAAATACTGAAAGGGAATAGCAAAGTTAAAATATGTGGGGATGGCTATGGACTTTCCCTTTTTTATTTCATTTTAGTATAATTATATTGGGGCCGGGAAATGCAAAAACACCATATTTTTTTCTTATACAAAAATTTTCACATGTACTATATTCCCAGGGACACATTCTACCTGCATGTTAATCACCTCAACATAACTGAAGCACTTCCCTTCTTCTTGCACAGACACTGTCTCATTTGCAAGCATTCCTTCTGAGGTAGTTTGGGGATTCAGGGGCTGTGACATAAATTGAAAAGCTGAGTGGGCAATGTCTCAGCATTCCTTTCAGAACCTCCTCTTCCTTTCATTATCTACTCAAAACAAAGCGAGCTCTAAACTTTCCAGGTACAAGATTGTGAAAGGATCGCTTTTCTCCTCCACATCCTTGCCTCTGGAGACCTAGTAAAAAGGAAAGAACAAGGCTCTTTCTCAAGTAGTCATCAAAAAGACAGAGAGAGATGGGGGTGGAGAGGAGAGAACTTTATTTCCAGGCTCAAAAAGAAAGAAAAAGGTAAAGCAAGGTATTTTCTTTCTAGCTAAGAAAGCTTTAGAAGCATGACTATAATCTTATGACACATGATGATTATTAAATAGTGAAGCAGTTTCACAAATGAAGAACCATCAGGAAAAAAATCACTTAAAGATATCTGTAAATGAATATATGAAAGCACCCTGTGGTGAAAACAAATGTAAAAATGAATTTCCTAGCTTAATTTGGACGCACTGATATATGGACGCCAGCAACAATTTCATTAGCACTTTACTTCATGTCATTAGCAAGCCTTTCATCAGAGGAATTACACAAACTAGCCTGATTCTGACACTACTAAAATTATTACTGGAGGCTCTAGTAATCAGCTTTTTTGAAATCTTCTGAGAAAAGGGAGGATAATCTTTAAGAAAGGATGGGAAACAACAATCATCAAATGTGTTTTCTTTACTGATTAAAAAAGGAACAAGTTATTTTCGGTTTCTAGGTTAAAAGGTTTGAAATGAGAAGAGACAATTCTAGTCTTAAGTGGGGTCAAACCTTTTCAAATCTCATGTTTTAGACTCTTCTGATAGAAGATGATAAAATGTCCTTTGACACACAGAGTTCAAGGGCAGTTACATGGTACAGGACAGTGAATAGAGTCTGAATGTAGAATCAGAGAACTGGAGTGTTAGTGATTTAATATCATTCCTTCATCACCTCACCTGTCTTTTAAGTCAATTATTTAAACATTTAGGTCATAATCTCAGAGAAAGTCACCAAGGACAAATGTAGGACAATTGGGGGTCACTGTCACCTAAACCTGGACTGCAATGTCTAATGCTCTGGAACATATATTTGAAAGAAAGGCTTAATCAGCTAAAGTGGGCTTAATGCAAAACGTTTCCATTGAAGTTCATTGGAAAAAGAAGCCTTATCC